TATTTTCCCTGTGCTTCTTAAATACGGGCAAAGCACTATGAGCATTTTGAAAAGGTTGGGTCTGCAAGGGTATTAAATCTTCGGTGTGCCGAAGATAGCACTTCTTTCTCGTTTATTTTGGGCATAGTTTTTTACCTTTGCTGGAATGAACCTTTTTACTTCTGCGTTTTTGGCTCTTTTCCGTCGTTTTGATTTTTAATTTCACACAAATAGCAAATGATTTCGTAAACCATATCGTCATAAAAAAATTATAAGCTTTACATTCAATTCTATCTCACTTGTTGTACCTGTGTGCTTGTGTGTAGTAATGTGTGTGTAGGTTTATATTTGCTCAGCTCACATGAAGTCAGTTGTTAAATTGTTGGCGAGTTCTGCTGTTTGCACTGCCACACACGTGCACATAGATTTACTATGCGGGTTTTAGCTCTGCTCTTTATTCTTTTTCAATTTCAGTTTTCCTTTCTTTTTTTTTAGTGATTTGTTTGTGCCGTTTTTCATACAAGGCTTCATTGTTTTTGGTTATTTAATGCCAGCACACACAACAAATAGACATTTAAGTATTTTTGCACTAAATTTATCTGACTGTTTGGGGCGTTCACACATTCGCATGGCCAGAGATAAGATTTATGACAAAGCACCTGCGGTGCTCCGTGCCACAATGGAAGAGACCACGATGAACTGAACTGAAATGCACAAAAAAATAAAGTCCATTTTCATATGTGCATTTTTCATTTGTGGCATAGTATTATACGACTGACACGAATCATATCTTCGACATTTAGGTGGCACATTATCAGAGAGATGCAAACGCTTTCTGCTTGACAGTTACTAGGAAATTTTTATGAAATAAATTATGTTCTTTAAAATCGCTCCACATTAAACAATACAATAAATAAATTAAATAAATAAAGGCAGCATCCCAAAATTTTCAATTTATTTTGATTTATCGTAGCAATTGGGTAGAATCAATTTAGAGTAGAGATCAAATTTAGCTCATAACTCCTCTATGAAAATATCTACGCCATGGAATATTTTCAGTAGAAGGGACAATTATAAAATAACATTTAATTGTTTAATTTCAATTTTTCAAAGATGTGTTAGATTAGGTTCTCAAATAGAGGACAAAGTAAATTGGTTCGAATCGAAAACAAAATCAACAACATGTTTTGTGCTTGCAGCCCTCTTTTCGAAAAAATTGCTCTTTTTAGGTGAAAACATCATACGTCCATCATACCTCGTTTACTGTTCAATGCCGCCCACGATACTTTTCATCCAAGAGCTGTCAAAATTATCCCAGCACATCTTAGATTCAGCTACGGGCTGTACATATTTTTGGCACTTTGGAGCTATTTTTATCAAGAGTCTTAATATCAAAGAAACGCCTTTTTCGCAGCCATTAACATTTCATTTTAATTTTTTTCTTTTCTTTACTTATGATGAGCTTCATCAAGCGTGGAGGCATTTAATTTAATGTCTTACCGAAATCATTTTAAGCTTGTTGCAAATTCTCATTTATTTTGGTAAAAGTGCAGGATGTGTCCATTTATCACCTTTTCGGTTGGCACCATTTGCAGATTCTTTATGTTTATATTGCAATTTGCAGAAAATAGCAACAGTGGGCGACAGCAAAACTAGAATACAATACGAATGCAAGTAGTATATGAAAATTTATTTGCAATGCGATTCGCAAATTTATTCAACTTTTCGCATATTTCACTACAATAAACTTGAGCAATTTCAACTTCTTTGGCAACGTTTTCGTTGCGCTGCTTTCTTTACTGAATTTATAACAAAAAGTTTTACATTTTACAAATCATTTTTAACACCTGCGGCAGGTTAAAGTTCAGCCAACGAAAAAACTTTGTGAATTAGAAGCCAAGGCAACATTTTCATATTTATTTCACGCTCAGCGGACATTCCATTTAAAATGAGTTAAGCCGTTAATGGCACAATAATGGAGAAAACAAAATGCCAAAAGCACAAATTCAGCAAGCGTTAAGTCTGATGTCAGCCAGAGATACACGTGGGTTAACAGAACACAATAAATGCGTTCAGGAAAACATAATGCGACCACGACCACACACACCCAATCACAGTTCAGGGAGCAACACATGTCTAACTTGGCCCAGATGTGGTCCAGCGCAAGATGCTGACCACAAATGACAAGATTTATGGCCAAGTAATCGACACTGTCAGGCCATAAATCTGAGCATCGGTTCGAATGTCAAAAGAGCCCGTCTAAAAGGTGCAAGTAAAAGTCAACCAGCAGTAACCAAACCCAGATTAAAGTCGAATTTGAATCAAGCTCTAGCTTTAATTAAAAAAGGCAAAGTATCTAACTGAAAGTTAACATTTAAATGCTTTATTTATATAACTAGCTGGTATTTACTGGCCTTGCCAAGTCCCATATCTTTGCTCCATATTTCATCAATTTTCTCCCAATTTCCCGCCCGCAAACATAATAGAATTATGTTCCATTTTGGATAGATTTTTGAAAATGTAATTTGGAATTCATATTTTCTGCCCATTTTCGTCCCGTGAAAGAAACCATTCGTTCAGACAGGACAAGCAGTTTTATATATATTTAGATATACATATATCTTTGTTAGGATATCTTAAGTTATTGCAATATTTCTGGAAGCAAAGCTTCAATTTAAAAAAGGTTGTTACTGCACATTCTTTTCACATATGTAGCACAGATAAACACATTTTGAATGTCATCAGCAAAGTTATAATGCCTTTATTGAGAAGAGAAAAATATAACATATAAAAAAATTAAATTAAGCTTATTAAAAACTTTCTGCCAAACTGTTCAAATAAAAACACGAATATTAAAAAAAAAATTTGGCAACTAAAAAAATCATAAAACAGAAAGTTTTATGCAAAAATATTGCGGAATAAGCTCTGTAAGCTCTGAAAAATCTCAAGCAGAATTGCAAACAATTTACTAAAAACAAAAAGGACGAGAAAAAATTCGGCAACATTACTGAAATGAGATGAAAAGTTGCATCAAACTCATTTGGTCAGTTTTTAATGGATTGTTCAATGTGCACTTTTCACGCTTTTTAATTAAATGTGTTAAGAGTAAAGTTTGCACTCAGTTTGGCCAAAAGCCGCCTACAGCCACGACCCATCCAAACTACTTGCCAAAGACAATTTTTGACAGTTTTAAAGAGTTTCACGCCAGCTTTGCATATTTTTTAAATATGCGGCCCATAAGAAAATTGCAGGAAAAACGAAAAAGGGTGGGGCTTTCTCCTAGTCCATTTAATGTCTACCACTAATAAGTTTTCTAAGGATTTCCACACACATACATACGTTAGACAGCTGAGGCGTACAGAGACCCAAAAGTAGGAAGAGGTAATCAACTTAGCCACATCAGATGGCGCCGGGCAATGTTTGCTTTCAAATTAATTACAACTTGACTATGGACGACCCAAAGTCATTCTAGGACATTATCATCGACATGTGAAATACTTGAAATCCGAGTTGTAATTACCTCTTGGCACCCGCAGACATATAATTAACCTAATGATAACGGGAGGGGGCATCCTTCAGGCTTGATTCTGGTTGCGAATTGTGTTTGGTTGTGTTAATAGCTTCCGGTGTGTGAGAAAATGTGTTCCTAGACCGTTAACGGCAAGTGTAATTGCCAGAACTGTGCCCGACACTTGTAAAATTTGAAACTTCATTTAATTTGCACGACTGAAAGCTAGTCGTTCAACACTTGCTGTTGGGCCAATTCACTCCGAAACAGATTTCAAACGAAAATAAACTTCTGCACGACTTTTTAACAAATAAATGTTTAAAATTGTTGTGCCACATGGTCATAAATTTGAAATATACCCATCATTTGCCCCTGCATTGTATCTAAACAGCAACAAAATTTGTTCAAGGACAGAATTTAAATTTTAGCCCGATTTTCGGGGCTTAAATAGCTTTCAATTGTAAACGCGCACAGCACTTCCACTCTAACCAAGTTTTTAGGGCTTCAGTTGCTAGCTAGTTGCCCAGTTCTGGCAATGACGCTTTATTTTTACGGGCATAATTAAGCATTAGCCAGAAATATGTCACAAAAACGAAAGGAAACCGCGTTACAAATTAATTGGCAAAAAACTTGCAGTACTCATTGCGGCTAAAACGTGGTCGCTGGCCAATGGCTGTGACCTCAAGCATTCCACAATCCCAACCAGTCGGCACCCATTCGTCATCTGCGTATATATATGTGTATATGTATACGATATTAACCTAATGGTTAAGAGGTTGCTTACGGTGTGCGGTGTGAGTTATTAAAATACTGCTGAAAATTACTTCAAGGCAACTATATTGCCTTTGCCTTTGTTATAAGCTGCACATATTTTGCACTTTTATACCTTTGTAGAGGTAGGTAATATAATTTTGCCAAGAAATGTCCGACCCCTCGATGTATATGTATTCCTGAACGGATATATGCCATCACATTTGGCCAAGCTCAACAATCACAAGGGTATTTAATTTTCGGCGTGCCGTTCGTTTTGTTGTTCTTGTTTTCGTCTGGCATTGCCCCAAATGATGAATACGATCAATATTTGACGTCACAAGGCGGTAGACTCTATATAAACAGAGGTATACATGTACATATATTCATGTATGTATGTAAATATATTTTTCCCTCGACGATACTGACCAAATCACATTTTTCGTCATTCAGTAATCACATATTTAAGGCTACTGCTGGAATAAGAATAATAATGGTGATGATGATGATGTTTTTGAAGGCATCGCTGATACTGGCTCGGACGGCATATTACAATTATGTGTCTCTCTCCAGCTGTGCGCCTTTTGATGTCGTCCCCAGATCACATACAGAATGAATGCCAAGTTTAAGTATCTAATTAAAAGCATATCCGGCCAAGCTCTATCCAGTTGATTTATGTAGCATTTATTTTTTGCCAAAATTAGCACAAAAATAAACAAATATTAACTACGGTTGTGTTTACCTTGTTAAAAACACAGTAGTCTATGTTAAAAGAATCACACATATATTTATATATATAAAGGGAAAAAAAATAAAATGTCAGTTGTTTTCAACTTAGTATAAGAGAATAAATAGTTGTATAGAAAAAAATATTTGCTTAATTGAAATTTACAGTAAAATTTTGGTGAAAATTCCTAGCACGTTAAAATGGACCCAGAACAAACCACTCAGGCGATCGGCGAAGCTCATACAGTAGACTTGGACAATGAGCGCTTAGACTGCGAGCATCTTGGTAAGATCAGAAATATGTGAATAATTGGGACATATTTCAACAAAATTTCTTGTAACAGACGAGCTAACCGAAAGGTGGATGGATCCAAATAGACCCTCCTTTATTACGGTGCTGTTGCGCTTCTTCGGCAACATCTTCGGTAAGCAAAACATCGTTGTATGCGGTTAAGATATTTAATAACTCTGATTTGTTATTGCAGTGGATTGCTTCAGAGCCATATTTGCTTAAAAAATCTAAGATGTGTACAGAAATTAAAATGTTGGCAAATAAATATACTAGAAATTGTTAAGTATTGAAATAGTTTATTTGTGGCCCTGTAATTTCACCTGAATCAATGACAAACAATTACGTCGTGTACGGGTGTTTTGCAATGGCAATTGGGAAGATCCATCATAATGTCAAAGGCGTCATTAAGAAAATTTTCTAGATTTTCGGGATTTCGAAATATATCCTTCTCAATTTTTTTGCCGTCCCATATGCTCCATCGTCGCATGCTGGCAATGACGTCACCACAAAAATCACGTTTACATTTCTCTTTTTGTTCAAGAATCTTCTGTATACGCCAGCGTCGCCTCCCTGCAATCGATTTATAAAATTAAAATCCTCTACACAATTATCGATAGATAAAATTTTGGTAAATTCAAAATATACGACAAACCGAGGCTTTGAACAAAACTTGGGTTAGTAGAAGTGGAAGAAGCCGAAGAAACAAAATGTTTGGATTTGAACAGGCAAAAACGTACTTTCAGCCACGTTAAAATGGGACATTTTCAATTTGGCTTCTCGCTGCGATTCGTCATAAGCCTCTATGATTTTATACATTCGCCTGTCCATATCCTTTGTACTGGCCATAATTTCTTCGCAATTGGGCTTACAAGTGCCCTTGTAATTGGGTCCCGAAAACGGCACATTCGTATAATGTTTGGCATTTTTAAAATTCGTTCGTTGCCCCTCCAGTACAGCCTTTCGATTCATGATGCTGGCATGCACGCGTCCGTTATGGAAACGATAGTTCATGCTGATCATCAGCTTTTCCACGCGAGACAAACAGCTGCAAGATCGATCGAAGTCGATGTTTATCCAATATGCGAGTGCTAACCTAACTAGTTACTTACTGTGAGTTGCGTAGCGAGTATACGCCTGGTATGGAATAGGTGCGCAACAGATAATGGAGCTTAAAGGCCACGCAATTGAGCAGATCCTCGGCAGCTGTAGTCTGCATTTTGTGCAGCCCGTTCATATCGTGCACCGTCTGACGCAGCCACCAACCACGGAAAAGCGCTTGTATCTTCGTTGCCGCCTTATTGTAGTGTTGAATCAATACATTTTGTAACTTCTCTTCTATAAACGTCATGTAGTTCCTGCGCACGTAAAAGCCACGCCACCAACGCTGTATGACAATGGCTGCCCAATGGTTTTTCTCAACTGAACGACGAATGTGATATCCGCGCCAGTACTTTTGTATTTTGCGAGAGGCCAAGAATTGAACGTAATCCATGATAAGCAACGGGGTTCTGTGAGTAAAATGCAGTTGGTTATCATGGTGCTGTAAAGAATTTTAACTGGCAGAAGGAAGCATGTCCGACCAATATACTATAAATATTCCTAATCAGGACGGCAATCTAGCCATGTCCCTCTGTACGTCTGTAAGAACACATCGAGTTCAAAAATTACAAAGGCTAGGGACTTAATGAAAAGAAAAGCCTTCTGCGTATACCACCTCTCATCTCATTTCCATAATATCGATTAAATCAGTTAAGCACAACTAGAAAATTACAAGAGCCTTGCGCTTTGGTATATGCATACAGTTGTATGTCATATTTAAGCCCGGAAAATTTAAGGATTTAAGGATCGTACTATAAACAACGAAGCTATGCAAAACTGTAATTGACTTCATGCCAGACACTTACCGCGACAGCATAGAATTCGCTAGCTGATGTCTACTTTCGTTGTCATCTTCTTCATCGTTACTACTGCTGAGTATTTTGAGTAGTATTTTAATTAAATTTGCTGTACAGCTATCTGAACACTTACGGCAACAAAGAATTGGTTGTGTGCGTACAGCGTCGACTAACCTGCTCGGCCCGCTCGCGAAAAAGAGCCATTTTTATAAGTTTAAAACTAATGTATTTTTTGTAACTTAGAATGCACTTGTCTTTGTATGTATTGTCTGTTTCTAATTTTTTTTTATTTTAATTTTGGTCGAACGTTCATGTACGTCTATGGATTTTATGTTACTGATTTATTTCAGCATTTTTCTTCTTTTGATTTTATCAACTCAGGAGTCGAACAGTTTTCAGTATGCTTTGCAAAGATAATCTGTATATGCCATTATATTTGCATAAATCTTTGCAGAATATCACCATTTCCCCTGTCCTGCTCTCTGTCTTTTAAAAGAAATTCTCGTATTTTATTTAGTTACCCGTTGTATCAACATGTTGCGCGCTTATCGCCATCAACTTCTAGGAGCATATTGCAAAATTTACGAGCTTATATATCTTGGAAAACGCTGCGCCTGCGGGTATACCATAATAAATATTCTTTGCCAGCAGCCAGAGTTGCATTAAATTGAATTGTATTTCTGCTGGTCCCAACACGCGACCAGTTGGCCGCTCCCAGTGCCAACCTGGCAATCAATATGGACCACATGCCCGCAGGCGCACAGCTGAGATTTCCCATTTATGATGCCCTTGACACAGTTGCGCCGGCTCTAATTGTGCTAATGCTGACAAATGGCAACTGCCCCACTGCAGGTGGGATGGAGGTCAAGTTGTGCACGGTACTAAGCATTGCAGATGCAGTTGTGGGTGGACCATAAAATTTTTAATTTATTTTGTCAGGCCAAATGCCATTAGATAGATTCACGGTAAAGCGGCTGCTTTAAATGAAAATCAATACGTGTTTAACCTACATTGTCAGGCCGTTCCGGTTTATTTTTTTTGGTCTTCCTGTTACGTTTTCAAAACTCTCAACCCACAATGCTCATTATGCGCCACAAATGAACCACACAATCTCACACACGCAAACAACGGAAATGAGTCGGAAATTCTCATTTATGGCGCCCTTGACGCCATTCGCTATTTCCACTATCCTATCTATTGCCGGACTGCCTCCGACAGCCACCGCATGACTGCCTAGGCAGCTGACAAGTTGGCACTGGTTTCTGTTTCAGATTCTGTTCCCGATTCCGCATCTGATTGCTGCAGCCATGAGATTTATGTGCTCTCGTAATATTGACGATGATGATGCGGCTGTGGCTGGTGCTTCTCCTCTTGTTGATTTTGCGGTCGCTGGTCAATCTCATTGTAAGCATTGTGACTAGAGATGGGCGCGGGCAAACAAGCTTGGGCATCGAAATTTATTTTCGTACGGTCCCAGGCCTGGCCTCAAAAGCACGAAATATAAGGCATGCCAAATACTGGCCAATATCTGAATACCACTGATAATTTTACCCCTATCTAACCCAATAAAAATAGATCGCAATTATTAAATAAAATGCATTGACAAAAAATTGTCCTGTCGGTTTTGACCAACAAAAATGTGGCACTTTTCTGGAGTTCGTGCCGTACCAGGCTTTTTAAAAAAAGTTCTGGTGCAAGTTTCGTGCTCGTGCCGGGCCGAGCCTCGACAATGAGGCCCGCGCCCATCTCTTTCAATGACCCAGTAACTGAAATTGCGAATATGGCCCAGAGCGCGAATACCTTAAATTCGCTAACTTAACAAGATGAGAGATTTTCAGCGCTTTAAGTTACGTTTAAGGAAAAAACATGTTTGACACCAGAACAAAAGAAAAGGCAACCATCAAAAGCAGTCTGTAAAGAGATATATATCAAATTCTATCCAACCAATTTTCCATTTAGCCTTTCAACTGCGACGAGGCACCAAATTTATACAGAAAACGACGCCTAGGGCAAGGTTATTCACCCACGCATCGAAAACTTTTGGGCCATACATTTGCATTAATAGCCACGTACATAAATGGTCTCGAGTCCTTGGTCCCAATGTGTTTGCGGTTTTGCCGTGACCATTGTGCCCTTATAGAATTTTCTGTAAATTAGTTTATACACCTGACTGAGCGCAGTACATACGTATATAGTTTATACAAGTCGCTGTCGGTGTCTGTGTGTCTCTGCGTGTAGGTCATTGCCTTCAGCTTGGGACACATGTTGTTTGATCCCTCGATGCGTAAACTTTATTTAATTGGTTGATTTTTGTTTTAATTAAATTGAATTGGAAATCAATCGGTGCTGCTGCATCAGGTCTAGACTTGCAGGCAGTATGCCTCGTCAACGAATTATTTCGACTATACACCTCACGTAACTTACAATGTTGTGTTGCCCCGTCGACCACTTTAAATTGTGTTGTGTAAATATTGCAACGTTTTGGGTTCACCTCACATTTTATGGCAGCCAGTCCAGGAGGTGACAGGAAAAGGGCCACAACGAGAGCTTGGACGTTTTCACGGGCTACGACCGTTCCTAAATCTAATTTGAAAAGTACTAACCCGCAACGTAGCAATGGCCATATATCAAAAGCGAGCTCTACACACACAACACCCTCCCTCTCTGAGTTTACCGTGCGAATTTACGAGCGACTCTCCCAAAAAATGTTGGCCATAAAATTTGTCTGGGCACATGGGTGACCATATTGTGGATAGCAGTCGGAAGCTGCATCTGAGCTTTCCAGGTGTGCTCGTATTTTGTTGTGTTCTTCAGCCATGTGAACATAAACGTCCAAAGTCAACTGGCGCGTGGGGTGGATAAATTAAAGCGACAGCCACTTGGTGCACCTGTCTTTCGAATTTGTCACCGGCTGCGCTTTTTGATTAATGAACTCGCTTCGGCCGATAATTGATCAGAACTTATTGACAATTTATTGACTAAGAAGTGGTCATAAAGGCAGAAAGTTTAATTTGTAAGCAAATCCTGTGCCTAAGGTCTGTCAGTTTTATTACCGATTATGCACCTAAATGCATCGTATAGATTTTAGCAGACGGTTGGTCAGGCTTTATTCACCAACCAGTCTATCCAATTAGTATACAAATGGTCTTTCCTTCTAAGATCTAAAAAATGATCATGTTTTCATTGGCTTTACTGCCTGTAGACATTAGAAGAAATAATTCAATTTCGTTTACAAATCAACAAGTCAGCACGAACACAACAGACACACTGGAATATCGAGAGTTTCGGATATTGGCAAGTATCTGCACAATGGAATATCTTTTAATTGGCGAGAAAATCAGTATTAGTCGAACCGACGGTCGAGTGCATACCGCAGTAGTTGACTCCAAGCAGGATGAAGTGCAGTCGATTACAGTCGCATGGACCGAGGGCTCAAAGATGATGGGCAAGGAAATACCCTGGAGCTCAATAGTGGCTCTCAATCCACACCTAATGGAGCGCACTCAGGTTAATGACGAACTACTAAAAGTGTCTGAAACACAACTAAATGAAGAAATGTATAGTCTTTCTGATCTGGAAAATATTGAAATAGATTTGAGTTTGGAGGAACGTTGATTTTTTCTGTTGAGATTTAAAAATTGTTATTAAAAAGACAAAGTCCAGTGCTTTCTTTTTGCTTATTAATATTTTTCTACACTGCGACCTACTGCCCTAGACACATCGCACATAATTACACATTATTTGTTTTTGTACTCTTCGTAAAACTTAAATTTATATTAAGCAAAATTGAAATTTGATGAAACGCAGTTGATGATAAAAAAAGTGAAAAATAATGTTTATACTTTCGAGTTTTTCCAGCTATGCTTTTTCACATTGTGGCGCTCTAGTTTCACTTCAAATCGCCCAGGTAAAATAATAAACTTTTTGCCCTTTATATTGGCCATTCTGTAAAAGTAAGCAACTTGCACCGAGTTTTTTTCCCGCTCGGATACAAATTTATGAGCAACCAAAGTGTAATCAAGACTGAAACAATGGAAAAAAAAGAAAACGTGGTGGATTTCTTAACTTGGTTAACTGCTGAAATTCCCTCATCATGTGTAACAAGTAGACGAGGCAGCCAGAAAAGTTGTGAGAAAAACTTTGCTGCAATAAACGTGGTGGGGTGGGCGAAAAAGTATTAAATGCCCTTAAGCATGCATTAAAATGAAATGTTAGTATTTATACATTTTTTGTTATGTACAAAAATCTTATTGCCAGAATTTCCAAGGCATACAAACGATGTCAGGCGCATTATTTGCGTGCGTCTTAGTTCTAAAGCTGGTCATATTGAGAACCGGAAAATATTCCCACATATCATCAAAAAGCTTCTGATAAAGTTCGTTGACCACACGATTTGAGGTGACCACAACGTTCTCGTAATTGCTGCCAGTGCCCAGTTTGGTCCAGTTAAGCGAACCTGTCATCACGTAACCCTTACGCCGCCAAAGGCGACTGTGAACGCGGTGCTCCTCTCTATCAAGTTGTAGAACGCGGTCGTCCCCATCGATAATGCAGAATTTGTGATGCATCATCACATGGACCGGAGAACAACGCGCTGGCATTTCTGCCGCGATCAGACGCTGCACCAGCGAGCCCCGGGCGTAGATCATCTGGGAGTCGGTCACCAACCGTATATTAACGCCTCTTAGCCAGGCAGATGCGATGGCGTAGTAGAACGTGGTATGCGAGAACGTCAAGTGGGCAATGTCAATGGAGACCTTGGCCCTGTTGATGTACATAATGACTCTGTCCACACGGCAGGTCTCGCAGTATTTCTTTGGGCAGTTTGCCGATACATGACGAAATCGACATCTCCGCGGAAGCTCGTTGAAGATAACGGCATCCGTTTCATCTGGCTCACCGTAGATCTGCAGCCATAGCCGGTATAGACTATAGTCAAAGCCATAAAGCAGCTCGACAATTGCCTCTATACTTAATCGCCCCCACTGGAGCTTCAAAAAGCTTATGAATTTGTTTATTATCCAAACACATCTGTAGTAAAAAAACTTTTAAAACAGATCTGAAGGTCTTATCTTATGCAAACTTACAAAACTAAAACCATTTTGAAAGCAGTAGCAAATGGCGAAAACTTTGCTTGACGGCAAAAATCCTCAGAAATTATCGAAAAATGGTGTCTATCGATACACATACTACTTTTGTGAATAATATCTGTTCTGCAATTTATTGCATCGCTAAGATTTACTTGTAAACCCATCAGACTCCCTTAGCATAGTTAAATTTTTTAAAATGGACCAATTTTTATATTAAATCTTATTACACTTTCTTATTTAATAATACATATCAGCTATTTTTAGTATAATAACGAAAATTAGCAGTATTATCAGCAGCTGCACAACTTCAATTGCGTCGTGCAGTAGGTCAACGATTTTAATGTGGTCGACGGTCTGCTGCTCGGGCTCGCATCCCAAATAAATGCATGCATCGTTGCCATTGTATACGATGTGGCCTGAATGGCGCTGTATTTTGATCATATTTGAGTTGCCAGTGATTTCCAGAACTCCAGAGTTCACGATTCGGGGACGCTCTTCAATATCAACTACATCCATTTTGGTAGTAGCTCTCGATTTTGTCCTTGCTTATAAAATTGCTGAACTTCTCAATGAAATTGTTTAAACATCACATCTAATCACTCTTCGATACTCGATACATAATCTAATGACAGGGCTGTATTTTGCAGACTGCAGAGCTGCATGTCAAACTATTGGAACGACAGAATGAAACGCAAAAGAGAGAGAACAGACATTAGATTGATTTTGCAACTTTGGAAACGCATTAACTATCAATTTTCAGAGAATGCGCATAAGTTAGAAGTGCTTACAAAATATTTAGGAAGCAGTGCACTTGCTTTGCGAAAACCTCTTCAAACTTCCAAAGTGTCATCTTTGGTGATGATGATAATGATGATGATGATGATGGCTCTAAACTGCAAGCTGCTGTAGACAATTTCCTGCTTTTCCACTCGTTGGCATTGCTGCTGCAGCCAAATGGTAAAATGTTCCCCAGATGCCGAAAATTGCAACTAATTTCATGCGAAGCCAGAGCCAAATCAGTTGTGCTGTAAACTTTATGCAGACACGCACACACACACACGCACACACATTCACACTTGCAGATCTCATTTCAAAAACTTTAAAATTAGTTAAGTTACGCTCAGCAGATACCAATAAAGCTGCCCCAAATGTGAACAAACAAATTTATCTACTTATGGTTGAAGATACTGTCTCTATATTTCTTACACTCCCTGTCTCTTTCTCTCATTCTCCAGCTCTCTTGCTCAGTGCTTACACTTATATGTTTTTGGCTGGGTTAGGTTTGGTTGAATGTAATTGGATCAACTTTGGTTGCTTTCACGCTTTGATGTGGGCTCGGCATTGCGGCATATCAAAGTTTCTGTTAAACTTGATCAAACTTTCAATCAAATTAGCAGACACGTTGTTCTAGACTTCATACGAAAAACTTGCGAGAAACATTCTCTAATAGATGTTAATTATTTTTAGAAGCGAAGCTTCTTAACTGATTTACTCTTTAAAATACAAAACATTTCATTTAGTAGGTTACTACTTAGGGGCACAAGTGAAAGTACATATTACCAATTTTGCGCAACACAAAAAGCCAAAGGAGCAAAGGACAATTTGTGTCCTTTCGTTCGGTTGGGTATGTGAATGGAAAGGAAAAGCACAAAAAAATCAACTAAATTCAAGCAAGCAGCTTTGGCTTTCACAACAAAATTTCCACGTAAACTTTGCTGTTGTACTCGTTGTTATTTTTTTCGTGTCGGTTGTTAGCCCCTTTGCTTCATTTCGCCTTTAACCTTTTCTTCCTACTCTCGCTTGGTTAGAAGGTTTTAGCCCGACAAAGCGCTGCAGTGGCAAAGAATTTAAGAGCTAGGCTAGCTGTGGACGCTGGAGGGGCCATGCGGCAACTCGAAGCAAAACACTTAAGTTTTAACCCAAATTGTTGCCAACAAAGCGGTTTGTCTAACATTCTTTCGAGAAAATTTTACGAAAAAGTGTTTAGTACCAACAAAATACACACACACCTACAAAAATACACGCACAAAGCAGTTTGCGCCCAAAGAGTAAACATGGCCCCTAACTAAAACCGAGGGAGCAGCCCAGATAAGCAGGGTACAGTAACAATAAGCGCAACAAGAAAAGTGCAGAAACGTAGCTTAACTAGTTATAAGGGGGTTTCAAATTAAGGAATGGTATGGAACAGTGGAAATAAAACACGAATGTAATTATATATAATATAGAAAATATATGTATATTAAAAAGGTAGCTTAACTAGTAAAACAGGGTTCTAAAATTAGTGGTCTGGAGCAGTGACAATGGCAAGAGTAGATTTGAAGACAACATTTCAAGGGGGAACTGATAAATGTTTAAAATTCAAAACTTATCGGAATTAGTGAAAACTTAATCAAGTTTGTAATTGTTATCAGCTGTTATCGTTGTTCCCAGAGTAAATACATAAGTTTAGTATATTTATCCAATATCCATTTCATGAACTAAAAACCACCACTGTAGCCCAACTTTGAGGTTTCCGGATGCGAAAAGCAATTGAAGTGCACTTCGAAACCGCGCATAGAACTTTTCCACTGGCCGAAAATGCAATTGTAATGAATTACTTTGGCCAAATGAGCACTCAAAGTGAAACTTTGAACAGCTTTAAGTAGCCGTGGCTGGGAATTGAAAAGCGAGTTCCAAGTGGAGGAGTCATCGAACTATCCCACTGATAGGTAAACGATTTTAATCCCAAAAATCTGTGCGCACAAAAAACGGGGGAAAAACTGCACACTGCCCGACTAATATCGCGGTCTGGTATTAGTCTAGGACTGTCTGCCTGCCAGCGACATGTTGACCTTAAAAACTTGACGTGTTCAAATGTTGCAAAACAACTCAAGGGCTTTCGACTTGAGCACTTTTTCTGTTCGGTTCGCTTTTGATGGGGCTCTCTCTTTCAACCCCAGGCCTCTCTGTCTAACTGTATCACACACACACGGCTCTCTGTTTGACGCACATGAAGTGCCGCACTTGAAATATGCTTTTGTGCCCCCAGAAATACCATCGGATGGAGAGAGGGGCGAGACGGCGGCAACGACAACGTGTGGTAGGTGTGGAAAATGTGTTTTGACAAGTGTCACTTATGCCTTGCTACTATGAAATATGCAAACCTGTCAGCCTAGTCACCCAGCCGCCCCCTCTTCAATCCAGAGGTGGCTTGTTGTAATTGCAAACTGCACACATGTTGGGATCAGGATGAATTGCATTGAGATGCGGTTATCGAGTGTGCATAAAAAATGAAAGGGGATGTAATTAATTTGCAATAAGCAATGAAAAAATGTGTGTGAAAAGTGCAGTATAAATAGGAGCAGGGAAAGTAGTTGCTATGTCAAAGAGATTTATGAATTCAATATAAAAAAGAAAAAAAAGAAAAAGCCGGATTAAATGGAACGAATCATGTAGGTTAGTACAGAAGAAGAAAAACGATTTAATAGGACTGTATTAATTGAACACTAGTCGAATTCCCTTCCAGTTGCTGAGTTGAATTGGGTATTTAAAACTAATACTTGTACTAGATTTGTCATGTCTTTGGCGCCGTTGCATGTTCCTTATAAATTAAAGTGCCAAGATAAATTACAATTTAATATGCGAACCTTTTGCGTGCTTCAATTTTCAAATAGACACTGAAGCCAGTGACCCTTGGGAATATGCTATAAATATTAGGCCAACGCTTCAAAAGGGACCCCAATGCAAAAGCATATTCAATATATTTTATATAAATTTGAGACCACTAAATTCCCAGGGGCAGTCAAACTGACTCAACTGAAAGCTTAAAACGCGGCATATACGTAATCTGCTATTAATATTTAAGCCACGTTAAAGAACTTTCAGCTGCGTCTTAAAGCGCTAAACAGTCCGTTTGCAATCCTATATCCCGTCCCAGGGTTGGACTCATTTGTCAGCGTTAAAAGTTCTTCGAAACTCCAGTGCCACTGTGGCAATAGGAACCCCTATTAATTAGCATTTAACCGCAATCCAACGCGTTTTATTCGCTCTCCACTGAAATGTTTATTCTATGAATGGGAATTGGCCAAAGGTGTGCTACTTAAAATTAAATATAAACAAACGCACGATTGTTCCAGTGAGCAAACTCCCAAGGTTTCAATTACAATGCAAGTTTGGCAAACAAATTTGAGGGTGAAGTTTCTAATTTTGGCGAACATAAAACTCTATGAAACCTATTCACTACTACGTCTTCAATACGGAGCCCAGCCTTGGTGTAACTATGAGGAGGAATGAATAAATTTCCATTGCCCACTTTTTCAGCACATACTTCGGAATTGCCAAGGAAATGTTGCCAGCATGTGCCACCTATATCGAAACACAGCCTCAACATTCTTGTTGTTCTACCCCAGCTTTGGTTACATTTGCATAATAACACCTTTAGCTCGTAGTTGTTGTCCTCATTGCAACGCAAATGCAATTTGCCGCATAGCTTTCAAGTTTTTCACACCTTTTGCTGTTTCTTTGGCATTTGCAAAGCGTCAATTGGGTCAAATGCGTAAGAATTACGGCAAATTTTTGTACGTTACGTTAGACTAAATACCGTAGGCAACTTTTAACCATAAGCCAGACACTAGGTTTTATTTCTTCTATTTTTCTCTTTGAGCAAATTGCAAATTGCAAATCAAAGGGTCCCCAATTGAGAGCAGGCCTGAAACGCTTAAAAGCAATTACGAATTCCGGCTGTCATTTTGCCGGCGAACCGGAAGTCATTATCATGGCAAACAAAGCGCAACAGAGACGGTGCCCACAGCCAACCACAGCTACAACAACAATAACAAGAACTCAAACACACCATTACATACAACATTTTGCGCCTTTGCGACAACTTGGCTTGGGTCCGGCTTCGAGTACGAGTTTGCCCTCATTATCGAGTTAATTATGTACGTATGTGAGAGAGCTTCTACTGTCTTTGTGTGTGTGTACGTGTGTGTGTGTGTGTGTGTGTGCTTGTAACCAAAGGTAATTACAGCTACGCTTCCATTGTTAGCCAGCTTCGGTAGGTTGTCAATGATGTTCTCTGTTCTCCATCGAGTTTTACACCTTCG